CAGGTGAGCATCCAACGTCAACTTTGTGGTCTTATATCTTGGTAAGTACTAGTCCTAAAATTTTTCTTTGGGTTTTATTACACACAGAAAATTGCCCTCTTTAATTTAAAAAAAAAAAAAAAAAAAAAAAAAAATTATTCAGAGCACAGGGCAAGTGAACTCAGATCTACGTTTGGATAGTTAATGGGTTAAGCAAAGGCCTAAATTTATAAGTAGTCAGGGATCTTTTACCGGTTCAGGTAGCGAAGTGTAGTATGCACAGTACTATGAGTGAATTTTATGTAGATTATGAAGAGTAGGGGAGTGTATTGTCTGGCAGTAGACTGGATGATCATTCATACAGTAGCTTTTTGAGTTATTACTGGCTTAAGGTGATTTGCTGCAGTGGATCTCCAGGCACAAATAGCATATGTAAGGTAGGGTTAGATTATATATTAGTAGTATAATGTAAATAGTGCTGGTTGAGATACATACATAGTAATGTATTTTGGAGAGAATGCCAACTGATATGGATACTATATTTTTTTTGAATGTGAGTGTTGAATTTTAAGTTGCTTTTGAGGTACAGACCTGAGAATTTTTCTTTGTTTTGTCTTGCAATGGGAGAACCATTAATCATAGCATTTAGTAAGACATTTGCAGCTCTGTTCCCAAGCATCATATAGAAGGTTTTATTAGTGTTAAGAGTGAGTTTACTGATAGTCACCCAGCAGCTGGGTAAGAGACAACAAAAGGTGTGTTGTCTGCAAACTGAACAGGTCTAAGTTGTTGAGATGCATTTGGAAGATCACTGACGTATGTGAGAAAAGATAGAGAGACAAGAACACTGCCTTGGGGTACCTATGTTGATAGGTTGCGATGATGGGGTTACGACACTGATGGAGACATACTGATGTCAGCTGTTAAGGTAAGACTAGGTATGTGAATGCATGACCTCTGATGCCATAATGTTCTAGTTTAAGATGCCGGATTTTTCGGTCTACTGTATAAATTGCTTTCCTAAGGGTTATAGAGAGGCCTAGTGGATATTCATTATTCTCAATAGCTGCATAAAGTAAGTCTAACATTTTTATAATTGTGCTTTTATGTGGCCTGAATCAAAATTGGCAGGGGTTGAGTATACTGAGTGAGGCTAGGAAGGAGTATAGTCCTTTGTGAATAAATTTCTCAAAGATTTTGGACAACAATGGCAAGTTAGGTATAGGTCTCTAGTTGTTTATGTTGGCTGGGTCTCCTCCTTTATGTATTGGGATAATAGCACATTCACTCAGGCAGAGAGAGCCAAAGATTTCAAGCAGCAGACCCAGGTAGGAAAATCGGAGTGTACATTGACACATCACCTAAGAATGGCACAAAAAAATAACATGCTCAAACAAGTGGCAGAACAACATCAGAAAGAAGTGAGAAAGAGCTTGAATACCTCATGAGCAGCCAGCGCCAGAAACCTTAGGCAGACAAGGCAGGAATAAGGCCCAGAAAGACAACTTGAAGCTATAGCAAAGCAAGAGCAAGGAAGAGAACCAATTTCAAGAGCAGCCAAGCACAGAGGACAGTGCATAAGTGATCTGGACTTAGGACAAGGGAATCTTGCCTAAGGATTGCAAGATCAACTCATCAGAGTACAAGTTGAACATCTGATGAAAGAGAGATATCAAGAACAGGAAGGAAGGTTGTAAGGAAAACCATGGAGCAACAAGGCTGGAGGGAAAGCACTGCTGAGTGAGGAGATACAACATTCATAAGCAAGGAAAACCAAGGAAGAAAGCATACGTCCTGATTAATGAGGAGCTTACCAACTGGAACACCAGAACCTGGATGGATGCTATTTAAATGCAAGGCTGTCAGGAGCAGGAAGCAATGCAAATTTTCTGCTGGGAACTAAGAAGATCCAGGAGAAACATTTTAAACACTGGCCCTTTCTCACCGAGGACAGGTGACCCAACAAAGAAGAAAACATTTTCACTGTTACTCATTCAGTCTTGCTAGAAGTGCTCTCACTGTACAATTCTGATGACCCTTCAACTGCACCATCCCCATCTCTCCTCCAGAGTGCAGGCACTGTACTTCCCACCTCGAGAACAGAAGTCCAGGTAATTGGTTTGCCTGAATTCCTTAATAAATGTTACCTTACTCACACTCCAACAGCACAACAAATTATAAAAACTGCTAGCCTCCACTCGTTCATTTCTAACATGCTCACACAAGTCTTGCTGGGAGCAAGGGGCCAGTAACTCCTCCTCCTGTATAAATTACTAAGACGACAAAGGAGAAACCCTACGTATTGCATTACATAAATTACAACATTTTCTACACACATTTTTTGTATTATGTAATATGTACTGATATTAACCCTTTGACTGTTTCGGTCGTATATATACATCTTATGAGCCAATGAGTTTGACTTATTAATATGCAAAAATTCTAGTGCATGAAGGGAACAGCTAACCTGTGATCTGATGTTTGGGTTGAAACAGCATTTCTGATGCATTTTCCTGGGTGGTTTTCATAGTTTTATCAATGGTCTTGGTGCAAATACACAAAATGGAAGAAATACTAGTGAAATAAGAAAGATTCTAGTTGGTCTCAGACCAGATATGTCCTGAAATACGTCGCAAAGTGGCAGAAATACTTGATTTTTGGCAATTTTCCTGGTAAAGGCTCTCCCCTCCAGGCCATTTTGTGGGTTTTTCCTACATCTGTTTTAATAACTGGGAAGGCTTAAGCCATGAACAAGCATTCATGATTATATTTTATTTGCCAAGAAATAAGGAAAACTATGATTTTTTTTGTGATGATGAATTAAAAATAGAGGGCAGTTGTCATAAAGTAGAGACCTGAGAGTGTGATTAATGAACAGAGGAAAGGCTGCCTTAGTGTCTGTAATGCTTACTTTCACCTCTGTTTATATTAGAATTTGTTGAATTTTTCTGTAAAATTACCAATTTCTGACACTAGAACATAGCTCTGATAATTGTGCCCAATCAAAAATATAGAAACCATAGTCATGAAATAGCAATGGAACTGACCTAAAATAAGCCTTAAAATGTGCAAAATCACAGTTGTGTAAAGTACTCCCTGATTTCCACCTTTTTGCTTGCATAATTCAGCAAGTTTTACATAAAATTTTGCATAATTTGTGGCATTACTTTAAGAAAAAGAGTCTCTACTATTTTAGAAGGTAATTTATTTTCAAATTATGATAATGATGGACTTTAATTTTGAGAGTTGTGACAGTGAGAGGGTTAAGGCAGTTGTAATTCACAGATGGAAAAACAATATGATTCAATAACAGCAACATTAAAAGCAAGTGAAATTATATATTATGAGAATATGAAGAGAACTTTCTTTGTTTATGTCAATTCAAACATCTAATTTATTATGAAATACTAAAATCCCTTAAATTGTATTCCCTTGGGAAAAGGCAAAAAGATATACCATAGTTTACACCTGGTAATGATCCCCAAAATCATCAACAGGTAGTTAACTAGTAGACAGATATCAGCATCATGAAATGACGCATTAATTTTATTCAAGTAATCAATTTCATTTATATAATCACACACAGGATACAGGAGAGCCCCATTTGTACAGCTGCTAGGTTCCCAACCCTGTGTGATTTGAAAAAATCACCGGCAGGTGAAAAAAGAGCGTTTTTTTTAATTATCGAATGCATCTTGAAATAACAGCCAGACATTAAAAAATAAAAAAGTAAAATAAAATACAAGGTACATACAATACTTACCTTAAAATATGGTGCTAGTTGCCCTTCCCTTACGCAACTGTTGTGTGAAAATGGCAGAAAAGCAGTAAAAGCACCGAACATAATGAACAATGGCTCATTTGAAAACCAACAAAATATGGAATACCGAAGAGGGTGCTGAATATGCGGGGGCCCTGCTCTACTTAGCTTTTGTAACAAATCACTATTTATTTTTAATGTCTCCTAGGATTTAGTATATCTTGAAGAACAGTTAGGGATGCTAGGTTGCAATAAGGCACCATACACCTTTTTTTTTTTTGAAATAAGTTAACATCACTAACCAGTAGAGTACTAAACTTTTTTAAGTTACAGAAATGTTTAGGATTATCCACATAATTACTGTTAGTACTGTATGTGAAACTGAGACCCAACCCCAGGATACATTGTATACACTGATCTGAAAGTTTGTCAGTCAAAGTGATTATAAAAATTAGAATCTGTATGCTTTTTCCAATAAAGTAGAGGCCTCCATGGAAACAATGTCCAGCAGAATGCATTTGTTGGATGTCTGGTCAATAATGAACTTTAATAGCAATGTGTTTAACAAGGGCAAGCTGATGGAACTCCTCAAAAAGTCAATCAGATAGGTTCATAAAATTATCTTAAATATTGACTGTAACATAACCTGCTCAATTACACACTTTCTTAAAAATATCAGTATAATTTTAATTTATGAGTCTTACCAAGAGTGAAAATAAAAGGATAAACAAGAAGAATCAGCAACAAGAAACATGTTCCCAAGGACAATAACAGTTGTGTTGCATTCACTGTGAACTGGATGCTAATATAGGTCATGTAGTATAGTTAATATGCTGACTACACATATACTGAAACCAGCTTATAATGTTTCCATCAAAAATTCATAATCATACACCAAAAAAAAAATTTATATTTTAAAGTTACTGTTCCTTCATTCTAACATTGTTCATTAACACTGTAGGGTGACAATTTGATCCCTACAGAAAGTATGAAACAATGGCATAGATCTTTCAGCTATAAAAGCTTGAATTCAATAATATGAAATCAAGACTGAGCAGTTGGTAAACAGGGTTCATCTAAGACAATGAGCCAGCTTTAGGTCTCTTATTTTTACAACTTCTACAATATTATAAACTGCCCACCACAGGGGTAGCAAGGTTCACATCACTTCTCAAGGGAATCAGCATACCCTTGTGACCTGTTCAAAGCAATCTGTGTGTGTAATTACATAAGGCATAATTCTAAAACATGTTCTTCCCACCACCAGTAAGTTGCTGAGGTATGCAGATGATGTTCTGATGATTGTGGCCTTCTAATGAAAACCCTGAAGACTTTTCTCCCTGGACTGAACAGCTTGGTTCCGTCACATTTACTACTGAAAATAAACAAAGGGAAATTCTCCCATTTATAGATTTCCAGATCTACAGAGAAGCCAGACAGTTCAAAGTAAAAAACACACATTTTCTTTCATGTTTTTGACAACCTTGTAAATTTGCAGCACAAAACTTCTGGATAATGAAATTAGAGAAAACTATGAAGTAACTGATAAACCCTAATACCTAGACTGGATGATCAACTATGATGTCAACAATACTAAGTAATGGTCTAGAGGTCAAAATCCAAGGGTGAACATGCACAAAACATCTCTTGCCTGATACAATGTTTGAATAACCTTACAAATACTGCTTTTAAAAAGAGCAATACAATAACAAATACCCAAAATCTTCCTCAGGCTAAGTAATTACCTACTAGCAGCTACAGAAGCAAAGCTAAGCTCATGGCATCCATCTTTGGTAACTAGTCTAGTGTAAAATTTTAAAGCAGGACTTGCTACCTCTACTTAAAAACTACTAGATAATCTTTCACTCTTTGTAAAGAAAGTCTTTCATGAGTCATTTCAGTAGCTCTTCTTGTTTAGTACATAGATAAATATATAACATTCAAGTGTTGTAATGCCCTTATATACACACTAGGCAGATAAGGAAGTGCTGAAGAATTCAGACTCTAAAAGCATAAATATTCTACTAGAACAGTCCAAGATTCTACTGCTCTGTTTTTCTTTTACAAAACACAATATATATTAACTGACACTTGGCTATAGACATTTCCACAGATATTCTTTTATGGTAAATATCAAAGAATATGCTTTCATAAAATATTTTTTATATACAGTTTACTGTAGGTTCAAGTATATTCACACTAGATAATTTCATAATGTACATCAGATTAGATAATATTAACAGGGACACCATAAATCCCCCTAGTGGAGACTGTGCTAAGTGTAACACAATCGTGGACAAGTAGTACATAGTATTGCAAAGAAAATATTTAATAAATTAAAAAAATACATAGATGTTTGTGTACAGATTAAAAAAAATAATTATGCCTATCATTTTGGTACAGTAATAGCCCGATTTTCATCCTTAATCCATTCCAGAAGGCTGGCCGAAATCCAAAATGGATGAAAACTGAAGTAATATTACCCATAAGAAATAATGTAAATTCAATTAATCCATTCCAGACACCCACAAATATTAACAAAAAATACATTTTGTAGAGAATAACTATATTTTACATACAGAAAACAAGGAGAAATAAAAATAAATGACTAATTTTAATGGATAAATGAACATTTAAATCACTTTTACCTTTATTGAAGAGACTTGTTGGCATATGGAAGATGGTGAGGAGGGGAGAGGAAGGAGAGGTTATTGTTTGGAAGAGGCATTCCCCTCCATAAGGACTTCAGGTATCAAAGCCCTATCCAGGGTTACTGCTCTTCTTTGTCTGTTACTGGCACAAGGACCAGCTTGAGAGTCACTGGACCATGCTAACATGGTTTGCAACAGTTTTGTTAGGGTGATATTTCTCCATCAACTCTTCCACATCCTATTTAATGTGGCCCAGAGCCGAGAATTGTAAACAAAATTGTTATGTACGTATTAAGAGCGGTGACTGGGCCAGACGCAGATTCATACAGTTTTCTCTAATGCTGGACCAGAGAAAATGTAATGTTTTCCTTCTGCCTGGCTAGCACACTTCCATAGCATATAAACACTGCATGTTTATATGCTATGTAACATGTTTCTTTTGTAATTTTGAAGATAATATCAAAGATGGATTAATGAAAATGTCTATATTAATGTAGAATAAGACATTTAATGTGCCCAAGAGTGAGTCACAAATGTATGAGTGGCCAAGGTGGATGTGTCTGATACGGACGATTTCTAAGTGGATGTACGAAACCCAGGGTAAAATTTCGCCGAAAAAAGTGGTCGAAATCCAAATTGTAAGATTTCCACACCGGGGCTCCACTGTAAGCGCTGAACAGCCCAAATGGGTATAAAGCTTTTTACTACTAAACATAATGGATAATGACCAACAGAAAATTTTTCACTAGCTTTGTTATAAAACATTTGCCTAATTAGGTAAATACATTTTTGTAGTTTTATCAAGTTATCTATAAATAGTGTTAGCTTTAGATCAGTGTGGCATGGTTGACAAACTGCTCATAATTTGTATTTACTGTATGTTCAACCATCTACTTATCTGACCTAACCAGAGGTGGTGTCCATCAGGTTTCCCATTTCTTTTTAAATCTTAAAATTTTAATTTCATTTGTACCTTTATCTAGGGATAATGTCTGTCATCAAATTGAAAAATGTATTCTACAGTTCAGAGGATTATTTGAATTGTGATGTCCATGTACTTCTGGCAAGGTGGTTATTGAGTAAACAATAATGAATGTACAGTGGTACCTCGGGATACGAACTTAATTTGTTCCAGAAGGCTGTTCGAGTTCAGATAATACCGAACAAATTTGTTCCCATAAGGAATAATGTAATTTAGATTAATTTGCTTCAGACCCCCAAAAATGCACTGCACTTACAAAAGCACTTACATAAATACACTTACATAACTGTTCAAGTTTTGAGCTGTTTGTATCCTGAGGTACCACTGTATTTCTTTCATTAGGTCATCTTACCTTCACAAGAAATGGCTATGGTAAACTTTTTTTTTAGTAGATAAGATTTATTCAGATTTTTAACCTGGGGAGGATTAACCACCCAGGATTAACCAAGAAAGTCAGTGTGTCATTGAAAACTCTCTCTCTTATTTCCACTACGGTCTTTCAATCTTGTCCCCCACCTGGCTGGGGATTGAACCACAAACACTCAGTATGTGAGGCGAGTTTTCTGCCAACCAAGCAAGACTGGGATATTTCTCAAAATCTGAGTTAAATTAGATAACAGAAATGATATTACAGTATCAATTAATTTGTTAGGCATTTGTTTTAGTTCAGCTTGGCTTGGTTGGTAAATCATGTGTTTTTACAGATTTATTACAACTCAACAGGTTTCGGATCTAGGTATAGTGTATAACCTACTTCTATTATCTATTTGTAACTACAAAAGTAAAACTCAGCTGGTGGTATCCCATGTTCAGTATTTAATTTATTGTGCCATGAGTGAATTTGTTTCCTCTTGAAAACTTCTTTGTTTTGATAATATGTTCTTGTAATTAGGTAAACACTGCAGTACAATCTTTACTGCAATGTTTTATCCATAACTGGATCTTTATCACACTTGATAAAGTTCAGTCATGGATGAAAAATCATAATAAATATTTCACTGCAAACACAGTGTCAGCTTATGCCTTCGTTCATCCAATATTTTTTACATCTGAAGAGTCATGAACCATGATTGTTGACACAGTGTTCTTTATCTCACTTTTTCTTTTCACTGGGTTTATCTTACACTCTCTTCCAACCCTTCATCACTAGCTCTATGTTCATTTCTCACAGTTTCAGCAAATTTCTCAATCAATATTTTTTTTTTTTTTTTTCAACAAGTCGGCCGTCTCCCACCGAGGCAGGGTGACCCAAAAAAGAAAGAAAATCCCCAAAAAGAAAATACTTTCATCATCATTCAACACTTTCACCACACTTGCACATTATCACTGTTTTTGCAGAGGTGCTCAGAATACAACAGTTTAGAAGCATACACATATAAAGATACACAACATATCCCTCCAAACTGCCAATATCCCAAACCCCTCCTTTAAAGTGCAGGCATTGTACTTCCCATTTCCAGGACTCAAGTCCGACTATATAAAAATATAAATATTATTCAGGTTAATTTAGGTTAGGTTTAATTAGGTTGAAGTGTTGTCTATTAATAAAAATTAATCAATTACAACAAACCACAATGCCAATAAATGAAATATTACACAGAGGTGATAAAAGTTTTGAATCTCAAACTGAAAACAGACTCAATGAATGTACACTAAAATGCACCATCAGATAATCTCTGTTAAAGGCTTGTGAACATTCATTCATTTGGTTGCCTTAGCAACAGTTGAATCCTGACTATTATTAAGGGGATGAGCTGTTCTTCCAAAGCTCTCACTCCAATACGATGATGTAGTTGCAAGTTGAAAATGGTACAAAATACCAAGAAGTTGACGATTAAGACATGTGCAACAGTTGGGTATCTACTGTTGAAACGTTTCGCCAACATGGTAGGCTTCATCAGTCAAATACAGCCTCTCCTCACTTAGCGACGTAGTCGTTTACCGACAACTTGGACTTATGACGGGCTCTCTGACCAGTATGCATACCTAAATAATGTATATTAGTGCTGATTTCCTCTACAGGTTTCCCTCCACATTCGTGAGGGTTAGGGGATCAAGAACCTCGTGAATGTTGAAAAATCGCGAATGTTTGGTGCACAAATATATTGTAGGGAAATATAATAATAGCATTTACTTAGCCTAACAATACTGCTACCTTAACCTACTGAAACATGAACTAATCATAAAACACATGAAAACATTGCAAAATATTGTGCCAGCCCTTTTGGTAAAGAAGGTGAGAAAAACTATGGAATTCAAGAAAGAACTCGTAGCAGAGTACCAAAGTGGAGGAGGAAGAGAGAGGGGAGAATGTGCCTTCTTCAGTGATTCAATGATATGTATGATACTAAAGCAGCATGAGCTGATAAAGGCTACAGCGTCAGCCAGCGATAAAGTGTGGCAAGTAAGTTAAGCAATCGATAGAAAATGAACAGCACGAACTAACTCCTCCAATGTTGTTGGACGTATATAGGGCTAATGAGAACAACGTCGCCTCTGCTGGCCTTCACCACCACTTTGCATGGCTTATGCTCTCAGTGGCCCTTATACACCCAACAACACAACACCACTTGTTATTAATATTGTTATTAATATTAATAACAAGTGGCTATTATTGTTATTAATATTAATAACAAGTGGTTATTTTTTTTTTTTTTTTTTTTTTTTTTTTCAACAAGTCGGCCGTCTCCCACCGAGGCAGGGTGACCCAAAAAAGAAAGAAAATCCCCAAAAAGAAAATAC